TACTCGTTAGATTAACGAGGACAGGAATGAATGTTATATTTCCCATCCCCGTTCCCACGGGTATCCCTCTGTTTAAATGGAGAATGAGCGAAAGAGTGAGAAGATGTTTCTACTGGTTAGATTTATAGGGTCCGAGGATGGATATTATATTCTCTATCCACGTCCCAATAAGAATCTCTATTTAGATGGAGAATGTGAGGGGTGTGAAGAGATTTCAACTCATTAGATTGATAGGGACAGGGATGGATATCATATTTATCATCCCTGTTCTCACGGGTATCCCTGTGTTTAAATGGAGGACGGAAGAAGTTGGAAGAGGTTTCTACTCGTTAGATTAACATGGTTAGGGATGGATATTATATTTTTCATCCCCGTCCCCTGTTAAGGATATTTAGTAATAAATTATAGTTTACCATATATATTATATTTGATATTTTATTATAAGGCAAATATTAGATATTTGCCTTATTATCATAGGTATCTTTCCATTTATTGTTATTTCCATTTATTACTATTTCCATATCCTTGTAATTCATTTGATTATAAATAAGATAACTTTCACACCATTTACATGTGGTGGATTAATCAAACATTCACATCCCCCCCGAGAATCCCTGTTTAAATGGAGAATGAGAGAAGAAGTGGGAAGAGATTTCTACTCCTTAGATAAACAGGGTAAAGAATGGATGCTATATTCCCATCCCGACTCCATGGGAATTCCGGTTTAAATGGAGAATAGGAGAATGAGTGGGAAGAGATTTTTACTCGTTGGATTAACCAGGTTAGGGATGGATACTATATTTTTATTCCCGTCCTCACGGAAATCCCTATTTAAATGGAGAATGAGGGGAAAGAGTGGGAAGAAATTTCTCTTATTATTATTATTTTCTTCCATTCTCAAAGCAAAGGTTTGTTTGAACATAATATAAACCAGAAGCGAAGCTATTGGACAAATATTGGACTTCAATAAAACGGTCAGTAAGATGGGCTTTTATCTTCTTACAATAGTTCAAAGTATTAATCGGCCTGGCCCACTTCACTTGTTTTCAGTGGGCTTCAAGGAACGGACGTCAGTATGATGGGCTTTTAACTCCTTAAAGTATTCAAAGTATTAATGGGCCTGGCCCAAGCTTCACAAAAACTTCACTTATTTTTCAGTGGGCTTCATGGAACGGACGTCAGTATGATGGGCTTTTCCTCATTGTATCTAACAGAAACTGTCCAAAACGTAAATGGGCCCAAGCCCAGATCAGTATGATGGGTCAAATTATTAGAATTTAGCTCTTTTAATTTTAAATAAAATTTAAATAAATGAAATTTTTATAGACTGAATTGATTCGTGAGTTCTCCAAAAAAAAAATATATATTTTTGTTTACTACACGTATATTTATTTTATTATTTTATAATTTATTCTCCAATTATTCTTAAAAATAATTTTTAATATTTTTTAAAATATACATGCAAATTAAGCTAAAAATATTAATTAAATAGATGGACTTAACATTTATATTTATAAAAAATAAAGTATGTACTAAATATAAAATTAAAGTTTTATTATTTATAATATTCGTTAATAAATAATTGTGTATTAATAAATGACATAAACCGGTATTTAATAAGATTATAAACATAGGTTTCAGTTAAAACGTTACAGGTGTGGGCTGCGCATGTCATCTATTGCCACGTGTCCGTCTAGAAACATCTAGCGCACACTGGAATGTGGAGTGCACAGTAAAATTACGTCCTCCCATCCCTACGGCATGGCCTACTCTTATCAAATCCTTTCACCCATTATTATTGAGATTCTGCTGAAATTTTGGCGTATTCTCTCGTTGACCGTTGGATGAGCGGCCAACCAAAATCCAACGAACGGATCCGCTATTCGCCTTCGTATAAATTGGAAAGCTGTTTTGATCTTTCGATATCTTTTGGAGTGGTGAAGGAAGTACTGGAGACGCAAACCTACTACATTGTCAGTTTTTTTGAAGAAATTTTTGTTGTTCATTTGTTTTTTTTTTGTGTTTTTCGAAGAAGTTGTGGTTCTAATCGATTGGAATTTATAGATGGAGGACGATAGCAGAAATCTGGAGTTGAAGCATCTAGGTTTTGTGAGGATCGCTGTGATTCAGACGATTGCGTGTGTTACGAATCTGTATGATTACGCGAAGCAGAACTCCGGACCTTTGAGATCTGCGGTTGAAAATGTGGAGAGCGCTGTAAACACAGTCGTAGCGCCTGCTTATGAAAAGCTCCGAATCGCGCCTGATGATGTTCTTCTTTTTCTCGACGATAAGGTATTCTTTACTTTTTCTAATCGATTGGACTTGTCTTTACACCTATAGATGGATTTCTATCAATTTACATTAGTTTTTAGTTTGTTTTTATGATTCGATCGACTTCGATCTAACTGGTTACTGATTTGATGGCAGTCTTGCAATCTAGATTAGTAAGATGAATTTAGTTTTCCAGCCTTCTATTATGATGAGATTTTGAGAATTTAGTTTCAATTCAATTATTTTCATCTGAAATGCAACTAAAACAGTGTTTATGAGGGATGAAATTTGTATATGTTCTCACCTTAGTTGATACGGATGAAATCTGAATTTCAACGATCAGTTTAGTTTTTCAACCACTAAGAATATCCTTTTTCTTTTCCTTGGCCGACGTTGCTAGTCGCTTCCCTTCCTTCCCAAACGGAACTGGATTAGTGAAAGTGAAATGCTGAATTGGTTCACAATTTTTCAAGGAGCCTTTTAGAGTTTACAGTGCTAGTCGTGTGTTCTTTGGGATAACGATTCATGTCTGAAACGAACGTTTTTTAATTCTGTTTGGGAATTCGTTGCAGGTTGACAAAGCAACGCATGAGTTTGATAAATCTGCTCCTCCTCTGGCAAAACAAGCCGTTCAAATTACGCAGCATTTAGTCCAAAAGGCTGCTCGAACAGGGCAAGAACTTGTGAATGAGTTTCAAACTGGTGGACCACGCGCAGCATTTCAGTATGCAGCGAAGGAGTACAAGCAGCTGGTTCTAAACCAAGGAGTGAAGATTTGGGCAGGGCTGAACCGGGTTCCATCGTTCCACAAGTTAGCAGACAAGGCAGTGCCATCGGTAGAACAGTGGTTGGAGAAGTACAACTGCACGGTGAAAGAGATGAGGCAGAAGGGCTACTACGTGTTTGCCTATCTTCCTGAAGTTCCTGTGAGTGAGATAGCTAAGGCATTTAAGGAGGGGGAGGCGAAGAACAAGGAAGGAACACCTCCTCCTCCACCACCTACTTCTGAACAAGCTCCTGCTCCACATGAGAACAAAGTGAGTTCAGATTCCGAATTGGATTCAAATTCAAATTAGAAAATGGTTTGTAGTTTCATCACCCTTTCATCATGTGGTTTGCTAGATTGTGTATGGTTCATGATGTACGAGCACAATGTGCTAATGATGAACAGCAGCTATGGAAATTTCAAGCAGTTTGAAGCCTTAGAAGGCTGTAGACAAGTGTGAATGGCTCTTGATGTTTATATGGCAATGTCTGAATGTGATGCATTTGGATGGTGGGTTTGTTGAGTTTTTTAAACCTATCAAAATGAATGCTTTTGGATGGTAGCTATTGTTGACACACCCATGCACTCAAGATGACTTTGCTTCAAAACCAGTCAAAATATAGGAATTAAAAATAAATTCATCATGTATTTTTCACTTTTAATTTGTTTTGGGTGTCATGATTTGTCATAGAGGTTAATCTCAGAAGGGTTTTGTGACTAGCACGTGTGGCTTGGAGTGGGCGTATTGGTAAGGGTATGAACATGGATTTGTAGTTATGTTTGCATTAGGTGGGTGCACAAAAGTGGTTTCACTCCCGACCAATTTTCATTCGACCGACGTCGAGGTACCATCTGCTGCTTTAAGTTCGTGTTCTAAGGAAGTTTTAAAAAGTTGCTTTCTCTTTCGAAGTTTTTTTCTCTTTCCGATATCTTAATATTTTCTAAAGAAATAGTGTTGAAACTTGAATTTTGAAGGGTAAAAAAGGTTATAACTTAAATTTAAAACCCTAATTTGCCTATTGATTTGAAGCCTGCCTGATATTTTTTAATTAAAAAAAAGTTTTAAACAAAAATTTAAAGGGGTTTATGATTTTTTTTTTAAATTTAAAAGTATTAATGAAACTTAACAATACATTTTATTTCTGAGCCCTAAACCCGTAATATTCGATTTTCAAACATCTTAATTTTAGGTATCTTAAACGAAACTAAATAAAATCTTAAAACATTTGACAAACATCTTAATTTTATATATCTTAAACAGATGCTCGTGAAAAACGTGTTGCATAAAAATGCTATCATAATTTGATATAAATACATTACTTATCTATTTATTTCCTAGAAATACTTCAAACAATTTAAATACATTCCTTAATTTTAAATAATTATTAAAATTAATGGAATTAATTGTTTATTTTATTAAGTAAAATTATTTAAAATAAAATTAACTAATAAAAATTATATTTGATTCTCTTTTATTTTTCTTCTATTTCTTCTACCACCCCATTTATAAACCATTTGAAAAGGATTGATAAATAAAGATTAAAAAAAATTAAAAAATAAAATAAAAAACAAATAACCAAAAGGGATCTACAAATAATGGAAAACAAGTTGAAAAGGTTATACCATAAAAAAGAAGAAAATATAACTAATCAAAGAACGGTAAAAAAAAAAAAAAAAAAAAAAAAAAAAAAAAATCATATTAAAAAAAGACAACAAAATAAAAGAAAAAGACAAGAATCTAAATTGGGAAAAAATTGAGAAAAATAAAAAAGTAGATTTAGGAACTTTTATGAACAAACAATACCTTTATTTTATGAACAAACAATACAGTTAACCTCAACTAATCAAAAACCCTTATTTTAATTTGTAAGATTACCAATCAATCGAGGCTGTTTACGTTACTCTTTGTCAGAAGAAACAATGAGCTCAAAACTCACAAACTTGAAAATCATCTCAAGAGCAAACCAGCACGTTTATTAAACAACAACAAACCGCAAGGTGTTCAACAACAGAACGTGTAATTAAAACAACAAAAAACATACGTTCAAACAATTGCTCGATAGCTTCCCAGTTTCCACCAGCAATTCAGAGCTCTTGCGAGTATTCTGCATAGTATTTCAAGAACAGCATCAAGGGGGTCTATCTAAGAGCCATCTCTCTCCAAACCCACTCCCATTTATAAGAATTAAGACTATGAAAGTTAACTAAAAAATAATGAAGGTTTCAAGTTCCAATCAGTGCTATAATGAAATCAAAATGGACAGGAAAAGGCTTAGAAACAGAACCTTCATAAATCACTGGGAGTTATTGTGGATGTCCTGAAGCATGTCATCATAAGGATCTCTTCTACCAGGAACCTGGCTAATTTGTGCATCCCAATGCAGCTGAGCATTGTGGCGGTCAAACGTCCAAAATCCGTAAGGACGGAGAGGATAGCTCCACATCTCCTTCGTCTTTTGACATCGGTCCTTTACCGCATACAGGCGCTCTCGGAATTTGCGATCCCTCTCTTTTGGATCCTCCATAATTCTTAATACCAAATTCTCAGCAAACTCCATGATGAACTTCATTTCTAATTTCTTCCTGATAAATTAACGGAAAAAATGAGGAAAAAATGCCGAATAAACAAATCATCCAACATGAAATTCACTTAAAATGCCGATTTCCTCACAAAAAATATAACAACATAGTTCTATAATGAAAAAAGATTTAGGTGAATCAGAAACATAGTTTAACCAAAACTATCAGGATCATCCGAATCCACTATAAATTTCTTTCATCGTTCCAGAGATTACCGAAACAACAAACCAGATCTAAAATTTCTCAAGTGAAAGCCCTAGGTTAACCAAAGACGAAAATTGCAAAAATACTCGAGCAGATTTCCAGATTCAACCGAACAAAAACTAATTCAAGTAGCGATAATATGTCGCAAAATAGAAACCAAAATTAATCGAACGCTTACCTTCAAAATCGATCGAGGAATTGAAATTTCTTCCTCAGTAGACGTCAACCTACAGTTCACCACTCGCATAGAGACTCGAAGAATGAGCAGAATCCGTATAATCCCCATTATTTTCATTTAAGAATGGGCCATACAAAGGCCCATATTCAATGTACTTAAGGCCCATAGGCCCAATTACAGTCGGTCTCGGTCTAGTGCCGGCCTCAAATTCCTGCAACCAGTACCAGGCCCATTCAACTAATTGGGTACCGACATGGCTGGATCTTACGGCCCATTACGGCCCATACCTTTTATCTTATATGATATATAGCTTGTATCGAATTAAACCACATGCTCTATTGGTTGTGCAAGCCCCGGTCAATTCCTTTCAGTTTCAGTTTTGTGGTCTGTACTCTTTAGATGGGGTGTTTCACGTATAACCTGGGTGTCACAATCACACTTTTCTTGTCAATGGACTTTTGCCATTGTGCGACTCTCACTCCCAATACAGAGTGAGTCAAGCCAATTTAGACTCACGTGGCCTGCGGCTGGGCAACGTATGCTTAAGCCTCTGACTTAGTTTTGAGAGGAAGGTTTTAGAAAATGGGGTAGCGAGATTTTTTTAGGGAGAGTTTGAAAAAGGTTGAAGGAAAGATCGAAAGCAGCTTTATATAGCTATAAGCAAAGAAAGAAATATCACGGCTTAAATATCATATAACTCGGGGTAGGAAAAATTGACGATTAGTTGCATCCCCCTATAGTACATTTCAAGGCGATTCAGGTTTGGCAGGCTTAGACATGATTTCATGGAACGGTCGTACAAAATCTAAGTGAAAGGAGTTGACGACTAGTCGCATCGCCCTATAATACATTTTGAAGTGATTAAGGTCTAGCAAGTTTAGATATTTATTTCATCAAATAGTCATATAAACAGAAAATACAATAGTAAGACAATACAACATGATATCAAATAAAAGATTTGACGTGGCTTGGGTATGTAGCCACGGATAATATGCCTTGAACAAGCATGACCGTAGCATTTCAACCCTTAATTCGTGTAAAAACAAGAGTGAATATTCATCGCTTACACCATTGACTATTCACGTATCTAATACATTTCATTATTCTATTTAAATACGATAAAGACTCTAGCTCACATTATAAAGGCTGCATACAAACCAGTTCAACTAGACTAAACCATCCGATCCAACCGAATTCGGTTGGATCAGTCATCTTCAACCTCCACCTATCCGCACACTTTTTTTGCCTTCTCACCTTCAACGTTCTCCAACCCGTGTCCAAGGCAACAAATGCTTTCAATCCCATCAAAAAAACTTTTAGAACACTTAAATACGAACCTATTAAGACAAGAATCATCAATTTTATTACGAATAGGCTACAATGGCTTTCAACCCATCGTAAACTTCATCTTCTCGATGCATTTTTGTTAGACCGCAAGGCCTTCTGTAATGTTGTGCTACACAGCACGAACCTATAAGAATATGAATCACGAAATTTTATAGAACGTAAGTAACCATTTAGAGGATTATTGAATGGAATATTTACTAAAGGTGAAGTCAATGAACAATGGCCCCAACAAATAAAAAGCAAAGCAATTTGCAAATGAATGGATATGAATTAAAGGATTTGGTCTACAAAATTTGTGCACCTACTCTATTGCCATTAAATATATTTAATTATTTCAAACAATAATATCCAATCCCCAAAAAGCCCTCATTGCATTATTCATCATAAATCGTTCCTAATTATAAATTTTTAAATGCTACTTTGTACTGATTAATCTCTCGATCTAATAAAGTTTGACTAAAAATGTCAACGAAACTGGACGTGTATGAACAAACCTTCCACATCCAGGCGAATTCTTTTCTTTTTTCTTGCAAGAGATCAGAATAGAAATCTCTAAGAACAGGAAAACCTTCCAAGTCACCGCTCAAAGTGGACAATCCCAAAGCAAAGTCATGAGAGCTTACGCTCAAAGTGGACAATATCATACCATTGTGGAGAGTCGTGTTCGTCTAACATGGTATCAGAGTCATGCCCTAAACTTAGCCGTGCCAATAGATTGGCAAATCCTTAAATGTCGAACAAAAGACTCCAAAAGGAGTCAAGCCTCCTCGAAGGTACGAAGGCAGTCAAAAATGACTAAGACTCCAAAGGAGTCGAGCCTCGATTAAGGGGAGGCGTGCTTTGTTCGAGGGGAGGTGTTGGATGATGAAAGTCCCACATCGGCTAATTTAGGGAATGATCATGGGTTTATAAGTGATGAATACTAACTCCATTAGTATGAGGCCTTTTTGGGGAAGCCCAAAGCAAAGCCATGAGAGCTTACGCTCAAAGTGGACAATATCATACCATTGTGGAGAGTCGTGTTTCTTTTTTCTTTTTTCTTGCAAGAGATCAGAATAGAAATCTCTAAGGAACAGGAAAACCTTCCAAGTCACCGCTAATTCCTCAAAAATAAAAATAAAAAATCAAAGATCATAATAGAAAATTCTCGAGGCTAGGAGACCTTTACCATATCCTCATAGGGGCGGGACGGGAGACCGTCCCCATCCCCACAATTT